GCAACTGGAGTTCCAAAGTTTAGTTCCGAATCTAGCAAAAGAGCTCTGGCTTTGATTCAGTCTCGATGGATTAATATAAAAATTGCCGAAAGGAGTGAGAACCTCGTATCGTGATTATGCTTTTCAGTAGGTTTAATGAAAAGATTACTGATGTTAGTAGGTACAGTTAGACATGAGACGTCAAACATAATTGAGGAAACTGATTCAACGTATAACATATTTATGGGGAGGATTTTTGAAGAGATAAATAAAGGTACCGCATGTGCTCTGGGTTCAGAAAAATATATCAGCCGAAGAACACGTTATTGTAGGACGAGGATTTTATGTAAATGGGATTTAGCAGCTTGGCTCAAAACAGCCACTCCATAGGATAGGTAAGGGAGGATCAAAGAGCGATAAATAGTTAATAGAGTGGTTAAAGGTTAGTCTCCCTCGCAGCCGTTTCTGTTTGAAATCTCAACCTGGTTAGTGTCCTAAAATCATATGTATGGTTTCTGGAGCCAGCCTCGTTCCCGTTAGTCTCCCTCGCAGCCGTTTTTAGTCTCGTCACGCAACGCTCCTCCCCACAAACCTTCGTGGGGAGGAGCGTTGCGTGACGAGATTAAAAACGGCTGCGAGGGAGACTAGTTGTTGGTGTAACCAAACCTAAACGCTCCGGCTTAAAAAGCCTGTCAATGCGATCATACCTTGATATGCCGCCCCCCAAATCTCAGTTCCATATAAAAACAGGAACATAATTAAGAGATCGAATAATTTAGCCAGTTGCTCTTTAGGATATCCAAAATATTTACAAACGCGTAGAATATATAAACGACTACTAGCTTTGCGTGTATCGATGATTAATTATGTGCTTGAGAAAACCACTTACGTTACCTCTTCTTTGGGTCAATCCGGAAGTTTTTCGAAGAGCGTAAAGAGCAAATACGTTGTTGGCGGGATCTTTATTTACCCCAGCTTCTCGGAACAGTAAATGACATTTGAGAAGTGATCTCTATGATATTCAGGTGCTCGTATCTGGATTTCACGGGATCTGTTTGAGTTATATTTCGCGAACGTGTTGCTGACACTGATTAACACAGTGCACAGGAATTTTCGACTGAAGATAGTATTTACAATAAAGTTGCTGCTGAAGTTTCTCAGTTATGGCCTCGTGACATTTCGATCATCTTCTTGCGCTTATTAGTGCCTCTTGCAGACAGATTTCGGCTCAGTTGCCTCAGTTGCAAGACGCTTGTTGCAAGCTGTTGCAAAAAACCTCCCCGTAATCATCTGAAGTATGTTAGAAAAATTCTTGCCTTACCTAGGTAAACTGGATCGAGCTAATGTTTAGGCTCGTGATCAGTAAAGTAAGTGACATTAAAGGTTATACGTATGATGCACGATCCTCGCAGTAGCGAGCGCTATTTATGCAATAGCGAAAATCAGACCTGAAAAAAATCAGGCCTGTACGGGATTCGAACCTGATTTTTTTCAGGTCTGTACGGGATTCGAACCTGATTTTTTTCAGGCCTAATTTTTTTCAGGTCTGATTTTCGCTATTGCATAAATAGCGCTCTCTACTGCGAGGATCGTGCATCATACGTATCTAATACCGCAGTTCAAATATATGAACTTCATATATTCATTGTATCTAATTAAAGGTTGTGAAAAGATGTCGCATGACTGAAGGTGAAACTACTGATCTGATTAAAGTATATATTTCTAAGGGTCATGACTTTATTTTGCAAAACTTCTTGAGCTCAAACGCAGTATTACAGAAAACGCAGTATTACAGAAACGCAGTATTACAGAAACGCAGTATTACGCAGTATTACAGAAACGCAGTATTACAGAAACATACAGTAGCTAATCAAGAGAAAAGTTCCTCTCTCTCGCAAGCATCACTTTCCTCGCGGGCGTCTTAACTTGAATTTAATCGCTGTCATAAAAAAAGTACTGCGCTTGGTTGCCTTCTTCAATGGACGCTTCTAATGATTATCAT